AAATATCTAAATTTGGAAGATTGGATGACTGCATTGTCTTCGTTTTAAAAAAATGGTGTTTCACTTCTTTAGGATATAAAAAAAATGGAACCCAAGTAGACTAGCCAATCAGAATATAGGATTTGTAATAGTCCACTGACCCTCCACAAAGTTCTGGGTATGGCCCTAAGATTTGGAGACAACAATTAAAGCTAACTATAAATAAACTTACATTGCACACCTCAGTGACCTAATCTCTCATCTTGGACACAGACTTTGACATAATGCAGCTTTCATGTCATRTTTTGAGGTTCTCAAACTACTAATAACTTAATGTTATTCAATAAACTTTGCAGCTATTTGATTTACGCCCATACTATGTCAACATCACTTGAAGGGTTTGAGGGTTCAAACTACTATCGATAACATCAAGTGACAAGTTGAAACCTTTCGATAATCATCTATATACTTACCAAGAGCCATCATGRGAATAATCTTCTCTAACGGTGCCCCATTGCCGTTCCGACAGATAGGGACCCCAGCGCTTCCAGTTGCTGGTTCGGTCTTTATCTTCGAGTAGTCTTTGAGATTCCGCCACATCGCTCTCCATTACGAAGGGATGCTCAACCTGATGCAAGTTTTTACTCATTTTAAAACAATGCTTTACACAAAAATTGTACAAATCTCTTTCAATAAAGACGAATTTATGCTTAAAATTTCACATCACAACAACCGCCATTAATGGGTAGGTGATTGTATTGAACGATGCAGACTGGGAACGGGTGAGTCGAAAAATGCAAACAAACCAACCAGGCCTGAAAAAATATGGGAATCAGGATTTGGGACGCTGAATTCTACAAATCTTTATCGAAATATATACTTGATTTTTGCTTCCCTATTTCATATTCAATGTGTCTGTCACTAAAAAAAACTATGTGGACAATTGACAAGCCCTAATTCCCAGGCCCTTTATCCCTTTACCACCGAATCGGCTGGCCTAGAGCGGATTTCGTATGAGTGGGAAACGGACGGTACTGTACTGTGACCGTAATCGTACTGTAACCAAATCGTTGTTGCTATTAGCACCAGAACAAGATAACAAGCAATAAGATAAAAACCTGTTTATTTTATAAAAAAAAAATTATAAAACGTCCTGTAATACACGTCTTTTAAATCATCAAAGATAAGAACTTTAAATCGTCGTTATTAAGATAAAATATCGTTTTTCCAACATTATTTTCTCTGTATCTTAATTCGACTTAATCTCTATTCATTTATTCAATAAACTACTCGTTTATACTATAACTGTTTTACGTCATARCGACAGCACGTGCTGGATGGAGRCATTCCACATCTTGTGTGTAAATTCATTCAGAATTTGATGAAGAATGCTGGTCTTGGAGTTTTACGTGCTCGTTGAGTTTAGCTTGTAAAGCAGAAGAGATGCAAGGATGGAACTGCCAACATAATGGCTAGATATGACAAAAAGAGAATATTAGTTATTATGAAGAGTAGTATTTGCTACACGTATAATCTTTAAATAATATTCGCTCAGAACATCCCCTCATTTGATGTGTGAATTGACTTCGCATTCAATAATGTACTTCTCTGAGGGTAAGATAAACTATATCTGATCGTAAGRTATAGAGGATATTACATGGGCGGGCGGATTTTATTTTCGAGTGTTGAAAAGATCTCTCACGAGTGAGCGTAGCGACCATGTAATATTCTGTTTATCATATAATTACATTTGAAAGCAAATTATGTCGTAAAATACCTTTTTTTCTTACTTCCACTATAGAGAGAAACCTCGAATGTGATATTTTCAATAGTGAAAATAACATGTTATATTCACTCTGCACTAGTGAAAATATCAATTTTACGAAATGGAGAAATATAGGTATTTCATAGATAATTGTATGATAAAACTTTGTTCATAATTATTTATATAATTTATATAATCACTCATACTGAAAGAATAAAACCCGCCCCTCCCAAGCTTAATCACTCCCACCCCGCCACCTCGCCACASCCCCTCACAAACACATACATTACCTGGCTCCATAACCAAGACCACTKTCTGCATTAAAATACTCATATGACTGCAATAACTGATTCCAGTACACGTCGTAAGCGTACTTCTCGTTACCGCCATGACAAGGTCGACGGCCATGCTCATTAGGAAGAAACAGCGACGTCAGACGGTGAGATAGTTCCATGGCAATGTCACCAAGACGCATGCGGYTCCCAGAGAATGATGGGAAATCAACCTTGAAAGTATCRCCGTAAAAAAAGTCGTACTTTTCGAGTGCATCTATGATCATGTAATTCACTGAAAATGGTCAAATAAAAAAGAGAATTTCTATTAATCTATCTWTATAATGAAAGCCGCTAATCATTTACACGTTCAYTCARATCGTGMTGYACARCACTTTGCTCGAGGGAAGAGGTACTTGGTGACAGAAGGCAATGCTTTCTAGAGCTAAGCATGATGAAAATTAGTCCACCAGTAAAATAGTTCATTGTCATGCATTAATGTAAAAACTGCACATTTATTATATACCTCTGAAGCTTTTACATCATATACCGTATACGCAACSCATTGAAGGATATGTTTGGGACAAAACATGGCGGATTTCTTTTGTTTTTGTTTTTTTCCTACAAACTAATCCCACAATACACATACCAAAGTAGGTGACGTAAAAGCTTCATAGGTCTAATTCATTGTATCACATTATCGTGCTAAACATCTCGAGTGTAGTCTACTTACTAAGCATTATGACAGGTCCTTGGTGATTGGTGTTTGTCGCTGACTCCTCAGGATTGTAACGAGCCTCGAACCATGTCACTTCCCTCCTTTCCTCAGGATTCTCTTTTGGTGGTACTGTGCATTTMGCCTGAACAGGATTGTCTTGATGATATCGGGATAGAGAACGGATACCAAATGGAGATAGGAACTCTTCCTCGTTGAGAATGTATTGTAAGAATCTTGTCAGAGTTCCTCGTGATAGAAGAGACAGCAAGCGATGACGCTGACTTTCACTGGATGGATCCATGAACGACACCTTAGTGTAAACACAACGGGATAATAATGTCAAGAAAGATGAACAAAAAAGAGCATTGAGATAAAAATAAGAGATAGCTACCTATGGTTAGAAATAAGAGAGATAAAGTAATGCATGTCCTACGATTTTTTCTTTAGTGTTAAATGAAGTCTTTTCGTACATCGGCGAACCTTTACGCGATTTCAAAATCGCCTCTTTGAATCAATCAGAAAGCAAATCTCAACGTAGGTTCTCGGATGCATTTGGTTGTTTCAAGGCGAAACAGAATCAAATCTACAGTGGAGTTCCCCTTCCCTTAATGCATTGCGAATATCGCCATAAGAGTAACCGGCGTGACTGGGCTTGTAGTGTTTATTTCGGGCAGAAACCAATTAAGAAAATCACCTTGCACGCAGTGGTTTATGTTTGAGCTACTCCTAATATATAAGCGAGGGCAATTGAGACAAGTGATCTAGTAAAAAAATAAAATTCATCTTACCCTGGTTGTGATTTTGTTCTGCATGATCCACTCGAACCGTTTTCTAAATTCAGGTAGTTTTTCGATGTGTTCATCTTCAACGACAACGCAACACACCAATGGAATAAGTCCCGACTTACAACGCGTGCGCAATGCCCTTTTTGATTCGTCAAACGTATTAACGAGCACGTGATTGTAGAAGAAACCTTCCTCCGCATCCCACAGGTTAAAGCTTCCTCCAACTCCATTTATGCTGTCGGAGATTTGAATGAAATGTTCCAAGAACTTGCAAGCCATGTCTTCATATGATGGATCRCACAAGGCGAGGTCGAGCGCCATCTCTAACATTCTTAAACAGTAGAAAGCCATCCATAGCGGCCCATCCACCTGAACAACAAGCTGTTTACTTCCTTCAAGAACCTTGCCTTCTAATGAAGACCCAGAACATGATGCAAGGGTTGRTCCTAGAGCGAAACATATTGTAGTCATGCACAAAGTTCCTCATGGTACGTCCCACTCACGAGCTATTTAACATGCTTTAATTGCTAGTGGTGCTGAATTCAGTGAACAAAGATGTCACCTAGGGAGACAGGGTGATTAGGGAGGGATAAGAAGAGAGAGATCAATTCGCATGGTTGACGAAAGGCCTTTCCTTCCATCCCTTCCCAATATTCGTCCAATCCTTCAAGCCATCACACTGGGAAAGCTGCAATAATGCTACGAGTAGGTTTTCCACCTATCACTACCATCATAATCATCATCACCACTTAACTTACCAACCAAGCCTCCACCAAATATGGTTTTACCAAAGTCATCTTTTCGATTGCACCACCTAAATAAAGTAAAGGTAAAGTCAAATGGATGTGTCATGCAATATGTCATAAAACAATAAGCATAGTGTACGCTACTTTGACACCAGAACTAATAGCAACTTCCTACCAAGTAAAGTTAACAAGCAGTTTGTGAAAACATCTGGTCAAAAACGACAAGTCGCGATGTCCTTTTCTGCCAGTCATCGTGTATACTCGATGGCAGACCAGGGCAATCAGGGGTGGATGGACGGCGTCCAGATTAGACTCGCTATCAGGTGCCTGACCGTTAGCAGTCATGAACCGTTCGTGTAGCATTAAAAGCAACTGGTTCTTAGCAAAATCTGGATCAACTTTGGCCATAGCAAGCATGTTTTGAGAGAGGTCGCACAATGAAAACTGAAAAGTAGAAAAAGAGAGAGATAGCTAGGACACTTGCACAGAAGAAATAAGAATAAGAAGACAAGAATAGCCCTATACTAGTATACTATGCCAGTATCGCCAATAAAAGGTTGCTTTGAGCAAGTCGAGTAAATGACTTAAAGTGGATAACTGGAATAACCGTTACTTACCGTGGGATATTCCCACTTATCAGGTACACACACGATATCACGACTATGAAAGCTTCCCCATTCAAGGCCTGAATTCCTGCCATGTAATCTACTGAAGGGAGGTGTAGGCATATCTTCATCGCCTTCCAACCAGTCTCGTACAATGTAGTTATAAAACAGTTTATTCCAAAGCAAGTTTGCATACGATTGGCGACAGATTGTGCGCTCTTTTGGACTGAAAGATTCTACGGTATAAAAATAATTATGTATTAAACTAAGAAAAGGACGTCCTTCCTTCGTTTTATGGCAATTATTTTATTAAACAATCACATTAATGTATATTCCCAACGTTATATTCCCTAATCAATCAAAATGTTAACTAACCTGGAATGACAAACTTAAAAAAGTTATCCGCTTCTTTCCTTCGTTTTGCCAAGACTGAGCCAAATGATCTTTCCGAAAATGGGGTAGATACAACCTCATCTTCTGCCATCAACCGACATTGAATGACTTCATGTCCACATGGTGGAATTTCAAGGATGTAATGTACGGCCATTTTGGTTCCTCGTTTCTGTTGACTGATGGCATTCTCCTCGCCATTGATGACGTAGCGATGGAACGCGTCTTTCACATACCGTGTGTAGTTAGGACATCCATTGAATAAATGCTACAAAGTTCAAAAATAGAAAAAGCACAAATGAAGATTCTAAAAGAAAAAAATTAGCAAAGCATTGTGTTTCATGACTGATCTTATTAATCGGTGCAAATGTTTTATTCATCAGTGTTGCATAAGATCTACACCGCAGATGTTTTATTCATCAGTGTTGCATAAGATCTACATCGCAAATGTTTTATTCATCAGTGTTGCATAAGATCTACACCGCAGATGTTTTATTCATCAGTGTTGCATAAGATCTACACCGTAGATGTTTTATTCATCAGTGTTGAATAAGATCTACATCGCAAATGTTTTATTCATAACATGTCATATTATAACACCATACTGCCCAAACACCACATTTTTAGCTCATCTACAATGTTCGCTAGATTTCAAGGCTGATTTACTATACACTGGCAGTGGTAGCAGATATATGAAACGATGCTGAATTTTCCATGCAAGATTAATCATTCAAAATTTTCCATGCAAGAACATTTATTCTACATTAATACGAATTTACACTATATAATTCTAAATGGTTTTATCTTTTTTATTAGTTTCTTCTTATGTGATTCAATTTTTGAGTTCTATTTAGTTATAATATGATTATTTGTGTTAAAAACTTAACAATACAGTCAACTCTCGCCTTACAATCACCCCACTACAACGGACACCTCAATATTGCGGACAATAAAATACTGAAACCTCAGCGAAAAATACAAAGAAATGACTGAAAGTAACTCTCGTTACTACAGACTCTCGCTACTGCAGACACTAAATTAGGGTCCCGAGGGTGTCCGTTATAGCGAGAGTTGACTGTACATAAAAAAACAACATTTTATAGATAAAAAGAACTATTCTACAATAGCGACATATTGTCATTACCCACCCAAGTGTTGGTTTCGTTTTCTGTTAACATCATTGATGGCTCTTTATTATCAGGACCGTTATCAGCAACAAACATGAATCTACCATATCCTTCATGAAAGCATTCAGCAGATCCTGGACTTGTCTGTACTATTCCAGGTTTACCAGTCCAGCCATCATGTTTACAGCCCCATATCCATGTGTTTCTGTACCATAAAGTTGGTAAAACATGTATCCTTGCTGTGTCAGGTCCACGGTTTGTGACGACAATGTTGATTAGGATGTCGTTAGGAGTGCTTTTGGCATACTCGATATCAATGTCCCAGTAACGATTGTCATTAAACACCCCTTGAAAAGTCAAGTTTGAAATGAGTAAAATGGGMAAAGATTCTTTAAACAAGATTCAACAAGAATTTTTTTTTTCATTCAAGAATATCAATATACAAGAATATCTTATAAAACACATTTCTAAACCTTCTTATTCATCATTTTATTTATTCATTCCTTTTTTTCATTATTTTTTTCATTCTGCTTGTTTGTTACTTTACTTCTCTCACTTCTCAATTCATGCATGTAATTTCATTAATTCATTTCTTCAATTGTCAATCCATTTCTTCAACACCATTCATTCTCTCATGCATTCTTTCCCTTATTTATTCTTTCCCTTCCACAATCTTATCTTTAATCATTTTATTTTCTTATTAATAATTTTTCAGACTTTAAAGGACCATTAACAACAGGCATCCATTATGGTTTATTCATGTTTCTTATCCCTTTATTGAATAGAGATCTTGAAAGATTCCTTCTTAAAATTGACAGATAGAAATTAATTGCGAATGGATATTGAAGTCACCTCATTTTCAATAAATGAAGAATCTAAAACACAGCCACATTTAATGCCAGGTTTCATGCCCCTTTTCATTGCAATACATGYATGTTTTTTTAATTCATTCATTCACTTGTTATCAATAATTCATTTCTCCATTTTTCTCTTTGTTATAGGTCACATTTTCACATCTTCTAAAGACTAGTCATATTCCTCACCAGTGTCCATAAGTTCAAACTCAGGTTCATGTCTTGATCTTCTCTGGTTTTCTTCCACCAGCCATTGATAAGGGTATTGGTTCTGTGGATATTTGTACAGTGCTTTCATGTACGAGTGAGTAGGTGTAGAATCAAGGTAATAGTAGCACTCTTTCACATCCTCACCATGGTTACCTATAAATGGAATAAATATGATTTATATTATAGCTATCATGATAGCATGTGCTCTCTGATTGGTCAAATGTTATTGCTTATTGTATATTAAAAAACTCATACATAATTAATGAGTTATTAGGCCAATAGAATGAGCCTATTTGTTCACATGCATGGACCTTTATATCTGATAAAACACTCCCTATTAGTATTACTAAAAAGGGTGACCTTTATCAGATATAAAGGTCCATGACCCTAGCAAAGGTTTCATGTTTGATACCTGATCATTGACCAATGCAGGATGTCAACCAATTGCAGTACAATAGCTATCAGCACTTCTATTTTTAGTTATTTACTTTAATACATATTCAATGTGGCATGACAAGAGTGAAAAAAGTGATTCCCGCATGATCAGTTTGCCCCATTTATCTCAAAACTTATTTTTACGCAATTTCTCTACGAATTTTAACTGCTTTGAGTTTAAAATTAGTGTTGGAGTTTTTTAATCCGTTAAAAACACTTGTCATGTTTTAAACTATCGATACTTAAAAGCACGGATGCAAAAATGCTATAATATAAATATATATCAACATAAAGACAAGTAATATCAAGGGATTATATTGTTGTAACTTGTGGTAAATATTGTAAGTATTCAAAACCTAAAAAGATTACTTCCTCATTTTCTTGTTTATTTATTTTCTTGTTTATTTAATATACATTTAAAATCTGGGTCATAGAGTACCAATAAGTCTGACTGCTAAACAATAGGGAAACCAGACTATACAACTGATAGCACCAACATCCAATCAGATCAGAGCATGCTGAGACCTGCATGCTTGTTAGTGTTGTATAAATTTGATATGTGAATACTGTCATGGTCAAGGTCGATCAAGGTTTCAATGTGATTTGCTTATATTTGGTCCTAATTACAGTACATGATAGCACCAACATCCAATCAGATCATAGCATGCTGACCTGCATGCTTGTTTTATAAATTTAATATGTGAATACTGTCATGTTCAAGGTCAATCAAGGTTTCAATGTGATTTCCTTAGATGTGTTCCTGATTACAGTACATGAAGTTACACTATAAATAATCCAAGATGGAATATTTTCAATGAACCATGGATGCAATAAGATTAATATGTAGTAGAAGGGATAAATTAAAGAATAATTTAATGCAATAGTGTCTCACCTTCTTTTGGGGACAATCCAAAAAATCTTTCTTTCAAAATGGGATCTTTTTCATTCCACAAAGCCAGTCCAAAGCACAGATGGCATACATCGTCTGTGAACCCAAGAAGACCATCCTCTCCCCACCGGTAAGCCCTTGATCTGGCTTGGTCATGATTAAAATACTCCCAGCTGAAAGACAACAGTCTACATTGTAAAACTTTGGTTCTTAAAAGTGTTTTGATTGTTGTTTCAAAATTTACATTAAGAGAATTTAGATGATAAATCATTGTCATGATTCTTTTTCTGTTTTTTTCTGAAGTGAAAAGTAGTATATTTTATATAGTATTCAAGCTACATCTGACTGCTTTATTACTGATATCCTTGCAACAAATGAATTGTTAGCAAGCATAAACATTCAAGTTATTTTGAAGTATGAAGTAGTGTATCTTAATTAATAATGCTTTTATTGTGCTAGACCTACCCTAAATTGGTCAAGCACCAGACAATACAAGCTGCTGTTGAAAGCCAGACAGCTTAATTACAGACAATTGATCTAATGTCAAAACGGTTGCTACAAATTCTTACACTATAGAGTACTTATTAGGAAGAGCTGTCTGCATTAGCCAATGAGRTGGTTTTCAAGTAAGAATTAACATGTCTGTCATTGTAAGAATAGGGCCATCCTAAAGCATTCGACACCTGGACGGCTTTGCAATGTTAGTCATAATCACCATAATGTTTTTTTAGGTATATGAAAACACTTAATACAATGATGGAACCACCTGTTTTGTAAAGAAAGGAGTAAATTTAAACTTCAATCCTTATTGTTTTGGGAAATTAAGAGCTCATTTTCCAAGAACACTGATTGTAAAGTCAAGCTCATAATAGCTCATAATCCTTGCTAAAACACAAGTTAATGTAAAATTTGTGCTCATAAGAGGACAGATGGTGCATGGTGTGCATCATGTAGTGTACTAATATGTGTGGCAAAGAGACAAATGCAGGATAACATTTATGACAAACATAAATTCCAAAGGGGTTAATTGATGTACACCTACTGTTGGGTAAATTTATTTGATGTGTAAACTTAATTAACATCCATGACTGAAATAATGAGACACTTGTTTAATAATTAACAAATTATAAAAATTAAAACAATCCGTGAAGCATTTAATATAGAGCATGAAAGCGAAAATCACATTTTTTTACCATACAAGACACCATGTCTGGCATCATATTATTTGAACATTCTTCTCTTTAAATTTAAGGGACGTGTTCACTTACCTTTTGCCATCCTCAGAATAGTCCTCTCGCACTGTTCCCCACTGTCTTTCTCCCAAATAAGGTCCCCAACGTCTCCAATCCTTCTTTCCAAGCCGGGCTTCTTCGAGTCTCTTTGTTTCTTCAGTATCGTGCTCTAAGATAAGTGACGATTGCTGATGCCTAAGTGAAGATCGTGAAAACATGGTTTAATGAGAACGAGCAAGCAACTCTTTAGTCTCGGAGGCAATTTGTTACATTTGTTACACCTAGGTGAGCACGCGAGAAAGTAACCACGTTTTGAACCTGAAGGATATATAAACAATGAACTTGAAAAGTGTCACTAACGCTTTTAGTAAGCCAATGACAAGCACCGCTTTGTGATGAGATTTATATTCTGCCAGAAGTGAAAGGGACAAACAAAATGATGTCCAAAACAAACCACCATCCTATTAATWATGTCTATAAAAGATAAAAGATAAGGGTTTTTTCCACGAAAATCATCAAAAATTAAAATCTTTTTTTTTAAGTCGAGCTGTCAAATGTCACTTTTACAAGCATCACACACTTAGGAGGCTAAATTTACGTGCTGCTAGTCATGCAAATTGTATTGTACCCTCTGACCTTGCACACCATCTGCCATGTTGGACGCGTGTACGTTATCAGAGATCTGGGTAACTCCTCTCCCCATGCTTCCACAAAGTCACGTCCAACATGGCGGACCAAGTGGATGAAAAAACGATCAAGGAACTATTACCTTTTTTAGATGTCAATTCTCGTGAAGATGTGAAATACTTTGCTCTAGATTATTTCGTTGGTCTGACTGGATCTGAAACTGGCAAAGTATTTTTAAGAAACCACAAAGATTTCGTGATAAAAGTTACTCAGTTAACACGTGATTTGAACACCCAAATTAGCAAGCTTGCCTTAACTGCAGTATTGAACTTAACAGCAGAGCTGCCGATTGCAGAAATCATACTGGAAAACTTCAATCTAGAAGACTTTGTTGCGTACACTTTAGATCCTGAAAATGACGATGCAGATAAAAGCGCCGCCATTTTAATGAACCTTACCAGGACAGAACAAGGGGCGAAAAAGCTTACCAGCGACATTTCTTCTTCTCAGAAGTGTTCCTTATATCAAATTGTGGATGTATTCTGTAAAATGGACCACAATCCTAAAGCAAACTTACATTACCTGGCCCCAATGCTGTCTAATTTGACTCAGCTGAGGGAGGTTCGTGATGTTCTTATGGATAGAGAACGGTGTATTGTTCAAAAGATGCTGCCATTCACAACCTATGAAGGCTCAATCACTAGGAGGGGAGGGGTAGTTGCTACATTAAAAAACTGTTGCTTTGACACAGGTGAGGTTGCATTTCATATTTACACTAAAAGTTGGTGAAGAAAAAAAGGTTTTCTTTTTTTTCAATGTATTCATTGAAATCGTTTAAACATTTTATGATGTGATAGGGCCTTATGGTCAACTGGCATCCCGATATTACAACCTTTTGCTTACATTTAAAAATAATAAAAATACATGGTTGATCTTAAAACCAATGGATGTAAACAAGTGCACAATTTGCACAAAATTTGTTACAGGGAAGGAGGAGCAGTAAAATATCTGAAAACGATACCCTGGCTGGCGAGACGTCCCCGTATTGCGAATATAGGAGAGTATATATCTAATCAATCCTGTCTATCCTCTCAGAGCATCATGATTGGCTGCTTGGTGAAGAGGTGGATATCTTGCCTTATCTTCTTTTGCCCTTGGCTGGAGGAGAGGAGCTTGATGAAGATGACATGGAAAAACTTCCAGTAGACTTACAGTACCTTGATGAGAATAAACAAAGAGACCAAGATCCAGACATAAGGAAGATGTTACTTGAAGCTCTTTCACAGGTATATAAAACAACAACCATGCTTTTATAAATAATATACAAAATAAATATACCTTTGCTGATTTTAATGCTGGTATTTGGGGAAATGTGTGCCTAAGACGAGATGTCACAAGACGTGTACACATAGTTAAAGTATTGAAAGAACTTATCATTAATGTGAATTAAACAGTTCCAAATTCCCAGCTTAAAACAAATGTCATTCCAGAGAATTAATTCACATTAGATTAATAAAATAGTGAACCAGCTGCGTATTATTATAAACTTAAAGTTACACCTTGGTCTTCGAAAGATTAGTTCATGAGAGATGTCGCTGATATCCAAGAAGCATTCATGAATCCATTTTTTGCATCTTTAGGGTCATTTTCAAACCCAATTGTCAAGCACCTACCTGTACCACATTTGTTGCATCCTCTATAATGAAGAATTTCACTTACCTAATTTCATTATGTTTATCAACTCTTTTACTTATGATTATAGTATTTGTTGAAGCTTTTAACGTCTTTCCACAGTATATTCTTTACTAACAAGTTTGTGTTCTTTGTTTGTTAATTCACAGTTTTAGTTTTCTAAACCAATAAGCTAAACACTAAATAATGACTTATTGTTCTTCTTTCCTTTTATCTTGATAGTTGTGTGCTACTGATAATGGTCGCAAAGTCATGAGAGATAAAAATGTTTATGTTATTCTACGAGAATTTCACAAGTGGGAAAAAGATGAAGAGGTTAGCAATGCATGCTTGAATCTGATCGAGATATTAATCGCTGATGAACCACAGAAAGGAATGGAAAATCTTAAAGAAGTAGTTATTCCTGATTCATTTAAGCCTCCAGATAGCTGATTATTTATCAGGCAAATTATAGTGGGAATCACAAAGCTATGACAAGACAGAAATATTTTAGGAATTTGTATATGAAAAATGAGTTTTGCCAACATGCAAGACAGCAAAGTGAGAAAAATAGATTATTGAATTATCTGTTTACTGTAAACAGATCATACAATTTACGTTTTTGTAAGCTTTCAGAAGCTGTTTATTTCATTTGTGTCTYTGTCAAATTGCATGTTTTGTTCATTTGTAACTTGAAGATTTGATCAATTTTGCATGTGAAAAATATGCACTTTGCTTATGGTTAATCTCACTTATGATTGGTCAATTTACAATGAACATTCCCAAAATATTTCTAGGTGTTTACAGCTTTCCAATTCATTAATAATGATATCAGTTTTAAATTTCTGATAGCCTCCAAATAAGCACATAATTTGAGGATCTGCATTTATTGGTTGAGAAAAATAAAAACTTTTGCATTCTGTATATTTTCTAATTATGCCAAATTTCATAAAACTGTTTTCAAGATGCCTCCTTAAAAACTTCAATGAGCTTTGAACATTCACAGTATGTGTTTAAATTTCCTGTTGTTTTAACAACTTTTTTCAAGAATTCACAAAAATTATAGTGCAAGTACCGTAACATTCCAATGTATACACTTGATATTTCTGAACTTCACTAAACTGCTTTCAAGATACCCTGTCCCTTCTCCAACCCAACTAAGTTGATAGTTTTGATTGAGGGGAGTAAAACACCCAGTGGAAGTTAACAGTATAGTAAAACTCATTTAGTTGTATGTCACATTTGACAACAAGATTTATTATTATACAAATTCACATTTACAATAAATCATAAAATTATCATGATTATAAATTTTTGACAACAATGTTTCAATTGAAAAGCCCATTTTTTTGATATGTTTTTTAAAAAATTTTTCTCGTTTTTTTTTTATATTTTCAAATACTTTTTATGAAAGGGCTCTTCATTTTTTTATGTTATTTAGGTTCATTTTTTATTATTTCTCAATTATTAAATACAACTTCTGTAGAAATTGCCAACAAACCTGTAAATGAAAAAAAGACATGATAAAAATGGTATTGGTATTGTATTTACACAACATTGTGTTCATCGCTGTTAAGGTGCTGTTATACTGGTGCTGATATATATACATGTAACACGTTACACTGTGCAATACTCTCGGCAGCTTGTCTCCTAACAGCGTTGCAAAACAAGTTGGCAGAGTACTGCACAATGTAACAGGGGCAGTTAAGCTTAATAACATTGAAGATAGTGGATGCTTGGATGAATTAATGTACAAAATAGAAACCTAAGGTCAACTTCGTACAACGCTGAGTACACCAAAAGAAGTTATTAGGAGAAAACTTCTACATTGTATTACATCGTGCGATTCACCKGCGACTTGTTGCACGACACTTGTTATGCTGAAAAGTATAACAGCACCTTAAAATGCTTTTWAAAACTTATTGGACTTACATTTCATTGGCATTTCCACTCTTACAGCGCCCCCTCTCTGTCTACATCTCCTCTTCTGACCTCTGCTGGGCTTCATCTAAAAGCCGCTCGAATCGTTCTTCTTTATACTCGAGCTCAATAGCGAGGTCTCTCCTTGTCCTGTGACACTCCTCAATTATTTCTCTTCTTGACTCCACATTGTCTTTTACACCCATGTCTTTTGTCACCTTCCTCTTGTCACGTGGCGCATACTGCAATTTCTCTTCCAGTTTTGTTATCTTGTTATCAAATTGTTTCGATGTCCCACTTCTGGGCTYACTAGAGCGTTGAATTTTCCTACTGTCTCGCAGTATCAAGATCAATTCCTTTAGTTGCTCATTCTTGTCCAAAAGTTTGTTTACTTTTGTTGTCAAGCCATGGTTTTTGTCTTGAAGTTGTTGGTTAAAACGTCGAGTTTCTGTTTCTTCRCATTGACTTTCGGATAGTCGTTGAAACATTTCCTCCTTCTCAGTTATTAACCTCTCGATAGTTTGGTCCCTTGATCTTAGTGTTTTGGCCAACTTATCGCCACAGGATTTAATAGATGATAATTCTTGCTGGAACGATTTCTCAGATGCTCTAGCCTGTTGCATGGCCGATTCCAAATCTAGTAGATGTTGAACCAGATCCTGTTGTTCTGATGTAAATCTGTCAATGTTTTCGTAAAGCTGTTGTTTCAGCATGTTGTTCTCGTGTGTGCTTGACTTTAGAAGTGAATGAAGCTCTTTTTCAGAACTTATAGAATCTTCGAGATGCAGCTCAAGCTCCTCAATTCTTTTGACTAAACCTTCTTTCTCTGATTCTGACGTGCCAATGGATTCTTCCGTTGCAGCCTTTGTGGTCAAATCATGGCTCAACTTTTGATTGGCTTCTTCGGCAGATTTGAGCTTTGATTCAAGACTTTGCTCTGTTATTTTAGCGTTTTCAAGCTCCTCGATTCTCTTCACAAAACCTTGTTTCTCTGTTTCTAACGCGCTGATGGATTCTTCCTTTGTAGTCAAATCATGCCTCAGCTTTTGATTGGCTTCTTCAGTAAATTCAAGCTTAGATTGAATGTCTTGCACTGTTAATTCAGCGTCTTTAAGCTGGTACTCCAATTTGCATGTACTCTTGATTAATGCCTCTTTTTCGGATGTCGTCTTTTCTATAAACGCAAAGACTTCCTTAGGGAAAATTGCATTCTTTAGTTGGATTTCGAGATTAGCGAGTTCTTTTTCTAATTTGCACTTTTCTAAGATAACTTTTTCAATTGTCTTGTCTTTCTCCAAGATTTGCTGCTTTAATTCATCAGACGATTGCGTGAAGGATTTGGCTTGCTTAAGTTGGTTCTCAAGGTGTGATATTTGTTTTTCAAGATTCTGCTTTTCTGACATCACCCTATCAATTTTCATGTCTTTTTCAAAAAGACACACACGCAACTCGTTAGAAGACTCCATACCTCCCTTCAGTTTTGTCTGCTGTGTCGCTTCATTTGATCTAATCTCTTTAAGTTCCTTTTCGCATTCAGAAAGCTTTGTTTGAAGTTCATGGTTTTCTATTGCCATTTTTTCAATCATGACTTCTTTCTCGGATGATTCTTTTCTCAATTTGTTAGAAGGCATCGAGAAATTCTGCAATTTGGTCTTTAGCGATGTTTCGGTAGATCTGGCTTTCTCAAGAAGAAATTCAAGAGCAGAAATTTGTCCTTCAAGTTCCTGGTTTTCTGATTGAGTTTGTTCAATCTTTGCGTCTTTCTTACCCAGTTCCTGCCTTAATTCATTACATGATCTCGATAAATCTTCCAGTTGGGATTGCAACGCTCCTTCGTTAGATTTCTTATAACTAACTTGTTTTTCAAGTGATGTTTCATTTGATCTGGCTTCCACGAGGAGGGTTTCAATGTCCGAAAGTTGTCTTTCAAGCTCCTGTTTATCTGATTGGGTTTGTTCAATCTTTTCATCCTTGGTAGCCATTTCCTGCCTCAATTTATTACATGTTTCCGAGAAATCTTGCAGTTGTGATCGCAATACTTCTTCATTGGATTTGCCATCACTAACCTGTTTTTTAAGTGATGTTTCATTTGATGTGGCTTCCTCGAGTAGGTTGTCAATGTCAGAAAGTTGTTTTTCGAGCTGTTTCTTTTCTGATTGAATTATTTCCATCTTTTTATCTTTGTTAGCCAGTTCCTGCCTCAATTCAGAACAAGATTTTGACAATTCTTGCAATTTGAGCTGCAATACTTCTTCATTGGATTTGGCATCACAAACTTCTTTTTCAAGTTTACAGAGATCTTGTTCTATTTTCTGCTTGTCTGATTTCAACTTTTCAAGGACCACATCTTTCTCTGCTTGTTGTTCGGCCTTGGTCTGCAGCGATGTTTCGTTAGATCTGGCTTCCTCGAGGAGGGTTTCAAGGTCAGAAAGTTTTCTTTCAAGCTCCTGCTTCTCGAATTGTGTTTGTTCAATCTTTTCATCCTTGTTAGCCAGTTC